AAAAAAAGTGGTACACATTTTTAGGTACCACTGGAGACTCCAGGTAGAGTATACCACGGTAGTTGAAATTATTTCCCAAAAGTGCACTCCACTATCTCACAGTCTGCGTTCTGCTCTAGAGACATTCTCCGGGCGCGGGAAACTGAGGATGTCCTCCCCCATCCGTGGGAAACTGAAATGCTCTTAGTGATGCAGAAACTCATTCTGCAAAAATAGACACAGCAGTAACACCAGCTACACAGGTGTTCATCAGTGTCTGCTATCTTCCTTCTATGTATATAACATCTATAATATAACTACTGTACTACAAATCGACTGGTTCGGCCACCACAAGACTCCTCGACCCAGTGACGCATCCTGCAGAGCCGTCGAGGCCAGCAGCAGAAAGGCGCACAGCCGCAGCGGCCACCGGCGGATTCCGCGCGGCCGTCGAAAAAGGTGCAAAGCATGGGAAGCCTCACTGGTTCAATGAGGAAGGAGGAGGAAAGTAATGGTTCAACGAGACTGAGAGTCTGGTGTTTAGCAACTTTCTTAGTTTGGGGAGTGTGGATTGGGAAATGCAGAGAAATAGTATGAAATAGTGTCGTAACTGGCTTCAAGTTGGTGGACAACTACCACAAGCATAGTCATGAGATGTCCTGAGTATCAACCACAATGATTGGCATTTTGCACTTCTATCGAAGTTACCACACAGAACATGGACTACGATCTCTAAATGCCATGGAGGTGATCATCCCTTGAGCAATAGATCTGTCCCCTTTGGTTTGTGAAGCATTTTAGACCAGCAAACAAAAATATCGCCCCAGGTGTGACTTATCACAAGCAAGTCACTGTTTGCTGGAATTACCCTAGAGACTTCTCGATGAAGGGAACCACGTCAGGAACGCATGTTTGCAACTATGCAAGACCTTAGACTGGATGTGTGCAGGCAGGGGTGAGAGGATAGGCAAAACCTTTAAGCTTGCCTAACTCAAGTCGTACTTCCCAATAGGCTTTCAAGTGCCGAAACAAGCACCGCCCGTGCCGAAACACCTGCGTGAAGATGCTGGAGAATGCCATGGCGCCGGTTTCGCCCCTTTTGGGCGTTCGGGTGCCGAAGCGAAATGAGTCCTTTTTGTAGCTCAACATTGTGGGGCCAGGCGTCAAGGCTGATCAAACAGTCTCTGGCTTCTTATGAGCATAACCAAACACACACACACAAATGAAAACACATGAGCCACTCGGAGCCACTTATATAGCCCGGTCCTGAAGCAGCTGAAGCTTGCTGATGTGAGGGATCTTCCTTTTAGTTACTGTGTTTTGAGGGCTGCCTTTGATGCTTCTCATATGGTTGCTTGCCCAGGATTCGAATCACCTGATCACCTGCCAAGCTTGGATGAGGAGCCACCTGTATCACCTTGACCATATGACTTGGTGAAATGGTTGCTGTTGAATCTGAGTTGGAATAGAAATGTCATGTCCAATCTAAAGAAACCTAAATTGTCTGCGCCCTCAGGTCACGCCACACTGCGGCGCTTCTCTGAAAGACCTCAGCACGTGCAAGTTGGCATCCCAAAGACTTCAGCCCTTCAACCATACAAAATCAACGTGCCCAGTACCCAATTCGTCATGATTGTCAAAATTTGTTGGTCCCAGCATCTGGGACTGGTTGCATCAAAACTGTCAACCCATCGCCATTTTGGCACACACACAAGTAGACTTAAAGAACAAACACTCCAAAGAGCAACTTCCGACGAAACGCCATCTTGCTCAACCCCCTTAATACAAGGGCGCCAAAATAGATTGATCCACCCTTGTTGAGATATGTTGTTTCGGACAATGTGTCGTTTGAACAAAATTGGTTGTATGCTTGCCCTCCTCTTGCAAGACTGAAATGCACCGATGCCAACCAAGTTGGGAATTCCAACAAAAGGGGCTGACATGCTTTCCAGAGTGCATATATTGCAACAATTTCTCCTGGGCAAGTGATGCTTTGCCCGCACAGCTGCACAGGCCTAAAGGGCCTAAAGCAAGGCAACACGCGAGGCAACAAACAGCCACAAGATGCTTTCTACAGCGCCTGTAGCAAGTCAAAGATTTACAGCTTTCAAAGGCAACATTCAACGCGTGCGACTGAGCCAGGCAGGGATTGCTTTTGACAGGGGGGCGGGCACTTGCAAGGGAGGCAACAGTGCCTATGGAAGAGTCACTCTCTCACCTGCAGGTGGTCATAAAGGCATTTTTGGAGGGTTGATATGTGAGTCAAGGGTTAATCTCTGTGGCGTGCTGGCCAAGTCAGGACCGCTACTCAAGCAAAATCGCCCAGCTAGCACGGCAACTTCTTGTGGATGAAGTTGTTATTTGTTTAATGAACAGTCTTTTGGAAGGACACGCGATGGCTGGGTGCTGAGAGGGTCATCTTGAAGATCCCTTTGTGGCTTGGGTCTGTAACAACTAGTACACTACACGCACTGACTACAAAGTGGGATGAAAACATGGGTGGGTTTTGCAGATCCATTCAATCAACCCCATCCAGGGCTTGGGGCCAAGCCAAGCCGGCTGGGCTGCCCTGACGCGTTTGCTACGCGATAAGCGGGCTAAGGGTGGTTCCTGCAATGCAAAACGAGGCGGATATGGTGAGGAACATTCGTGAGCAAACCTTTTTGACGGCTGAGGAACTCATGGAGAAGCATCCAATAGTCAACACTCACCTATGGAAGGAGGCCTCCAGAATGTGAGCATCAACCAAAACATGAGTCCGGAAGCGACAACAATCGCGATACAACTTAAACTAAATGAATCAAGGCATGGTCTAGTAGTGTCAGTGAACGAAATGGATAACACATCCATGATCTACCCCAGTTCATCCCAACAGTTTGGAGATCAATTTATTTGATCCCAACAGAGTGCACAGGAGTCTTGCCGAACTTTGTTTGGATGAGTTTCTTGAATAATCTCATCTGGGTAGAAGAAGTGCCAGTCTTTGGAAGGAGTGGATTCAATTGGTTCGAGTAGTTCCAGCTAATTGTCCAAGTGCTTGTCAGAGAATTGTGAAGATCTTAAGTAATTCTAGCCACAATTGGATAGTCAGAAGCCTCGTTGGGCTTTTCTTCGCACGTACACCAGATATCGGCGGGTGTTTGCTTACATCCATGCAAGTGGACAACAATTGCCCACTTTGGTAGATGTTCGAGGTAGACTCCCTGCATGCTGGTCTCTATCAGCTTTCATCAGTACCTGGACGGTTTGTCGTCTCTCCAACTCCTTTTCCGATCAAAAAACAACACCCTTTCTCGGTGCTGGCAGTTAAAGTTTGCGGTCTAATATCCCCATATATGACCTAGCAAGTGTCAAATCAAGATAAGATAAATTTGAGGTTTTATATGGTATATAGCTGCTACAATTATTCTTGAGGCTTGGCCTAGCCACCTGCGCAGCCCGTCCAGAACCGAGCGCCTTCCAACAGCCCAGTGCATGTCGAGCAGCTGGGACGCTGGGAGCCAAACAGCGAGTGGCCACCGTTTGCTTTGCTCTGGACACTCGCATAAAGGGCAAATGAGGGTAGTCAAATATTGCTAATATCACGAGTAAGAGTTGATGACCAATAATAAGTCCCCCTTCATTAAACCAAGCCAACTTCCAAGTTGGTGGCCAATCGCAAGGTTAATTACAAGCAATTTTCACTCTGGAATCATCCCTATCAAGTCGAGCTGCCATCCTTTAGTTTGATAGTTGCCAACTGGTTGGCGTTTCTTTTCTCTCCCTGTCCTTCCCTTCCTTTTCTATTTCCACTTTTCCATGTTCTTTCCTGTTGTGTCATTCTTTTCTTTCTTTCTCTTCCGTCGTTTGTTGGCTTTTGTTTCTGTTCTTTCGTTTCCTTCAGCAAGTTTGTGTTTGCAAAAAAGGGACTACTGTAGATTCAAACATGAACATTTTCTTGTCGTAAGCCTGGTAACAGAAATATAATGGCTTGAGAAGCTACCCAAGGGTACCCGTCATGAGGCCTGATTCCGCCATGTTGCACGCCAACCCCATCTCCTGATTTGTAGTGTCCTTTACCTGCCTGTCCGCCTGCATCAGCTTGGGATGGGATTAAGCTACAGGGTCTCTGATGGATTCTTGTATATAGATACGTTTAGCATTCTTGGGGCAGGCCTCTCCGCAAGCATGCTGGACCTTCTGGACCTTCAATAGGGAGAGGGTCCTATGAACCCGGAATTGGCATTGGTCTTTTCAGACCAATAGCATGATGAACATCCAAAAAGAAGAAATACAAACCGCCAAAAATCTGATATGATCGGACAGGTTCTTTTTCCTGCTCCACGTCATGTAAGGCGACGTGTGGTTGCTTGCTCCGATTGATCCGCGAGCTCACGACTGGAGGCCTGGCATCGGCAAACCGACCGATGGGCAGGTGCCCGGAAAGGCGTGTGGGAAGATCTCAAGTAAGGGATCCCCACTCCAGCCACTTTGCTTACTGTTTTTCCTCTCTCAACAGGGTGGGGGGAGCTTCATTGAATTTCTTCAATCTGAGGCAAATGCCAAAATGAACCAGATAAATATATGGATGTGTATATATATATATACATATGTAACTTGACTATTCACGACATTTATGCAATGTGTTCAAGCTAATGTACGATATCTCACCAAGGACAAACAGGCGCCTTCAACAGCAACATTCCCAGTAGCCCTGGCGCTAAACCAAAGAGAATGAATGTCAAGCTCGCGAGCTAAAAGCTTTGTCCAAAAGCCGCCCTACTAGCAATGGCCTCCAACCTAGAAGCGATGGCCTCCAACCTAAGGGCGATGGCCTCCAACCAAAGAGCGATGGCCTCCACCCAAAGCCACTCACTTTTGCCACTGCTCCACGACACTTTGGGTGACATAGCCGGGAATGATAACTCTAGACAAGATCGAGCTAGCGCCGGAAAAGGCTTTGTCGCTGATGTAAGAAACAGAAGCCGGGACAGCCAAGTTCTCCAAAGATGTGCAATCTTTGAATGCGAAATCTTCAATATCAGTGACGGATTTTGGTATCCACAAGCTTTGCAAAGAGCTGCAGCCCGCAAAGGCATGGGTCCTGATGAGGGTCACTGAGTCACTGAACGTCAAGCTCTTCAAAGCTCCACAATTAATGAAGGCACAGATTCCAATGTCCACCAGCTTCTCCGGCATCTCCAAGCGCAGCAAACTCTCGCAGCCTTCGAAGGCACCGCGTGGAATTTTCCTCAAACAGGATGGTAGACTCAAGTGTCTCAAGGAGCAGCAGCCGCTGAAGGCGAAGTCCTCCATCTGCGTCACGGAGTCTGGGAGCGTGAGGCTCTCCAACGATCGACACTGTGCAAACGCTTCGCGCATGATGGTCGTCACAGAGTCAGGGAGACTCACGCTGCGCAGAGAGTGGCAACCCCGGAAGACCTGAAGGGGTGTTTCGATGGTGTCAACCCAAAAACATGGCACGAACGAGACCGATTCTTGACATACCATGTACCATGTACAAGCGGTCAACGCACATCGATGCAGTACGTGCATTCGGTCCAAGTCGACCCATGTGTTTGAAGTCAACCCTGATCTTTCAACACACAATGGGCACACTACTGGAAGCACATCATGTAGCTCGCAAAGTGACAACACACTGCACGCACACGCAAAAGTGCTTGTGTCCACACATTTAGAAGTGCTAGTCTTGTCTGAAAAAATCGCTTTGCCCTCTGGAGCACAGATTTCCGGTCCTCCATAATAGCATGAGCTCAAAAACAATTAGGAATTGAGCCAAAGAAATGCCCGATGAAATGGCAAAGTAAAAAAAGGTGCCAATACCCACATAATTGGATCCTTTCAAGAATGACGCCTGAGAAGAACACCACATGGGGCTTACAGCAGGAACCTGAAAGCATAGATTTACTGAGCCAACGCATGGCCATCGCTGCCCCATGGAGCGCTTGATGGTACATTTCTATCAACATTTAGCCTGCTAAAGTCGATCACTGGAGTGTTCAACCATGCCCCACCTGCTCTTCAATCACAGTCAAGGTCTTGGGTAGCTCTAAACTCACCAATGAATCACAGAACTGGAAGGCGCCTCGTTCCACGTAGCTCAAGTGGCTACGTGGAAGCGTCAAGGTGCTGAACTTGCAGCCAGAGAAGGCACTGGTGCCAATCCAAGTCAAAGAATCAGGGATGTTGAGACTGGTCAAGGAGCCGCAACCTAGGAGGTCTTTGATAGATCTTTGATGATCCTAGTAGTGTCTCAAAAATCTAAGGTGATGTGATGCTGTACTGTTTTCCACACAGGCTCGCTACTGTAGTCTTCAGGTGGCTCAATTCTGATATAAAGTCTGGCCACCAGGGCCATGGCCGTCAGTTGGAAAGTTGCACTGAAACGCGCTACAGCTCTTCAACATATGAACTCAGCACAGCTGGTTGTTGCCATTTTTACTCAACGCATATCCTACAACCCCTGCCTCTGAAGGCAAACTCAAAGATGTGAGTGACCGTCTCGGGGATGGTCACCTTGACCAGCAGCCTGCAGCATTGGAAGGCTTTCGCTTCAATGTGCATCACCCCGTCAGGGATTTTCACCTTGGTAGTCAGGCATGCTGGACTCAGCTTGAACCAGCGGCTGGACTCGGGTTAGCTTTGCCCAATGGTGGGTTCTCCAGAAAGGGATGGAGGGATCCTCTGAAAAGGAACGAGACAAGCATGAGACTGTTTGGGATGCCCAGGTCGCCACCAACAATCCCTCCTCTGGACATGCAAGGCCACTGCTCTTTCGGCTGGAGCACTCCACGGATGGAATTGGCACAAAGAGCACGTGTAGCTCCCCGGCAATCTGCAAGTGTTTGATGCTCATGGGATAGGCCAACGGAACGTCCGTAATCTCCGGTGTCATTCAGTTTGCTTCCGGCAAGAAATGATAATTATATGGTCTTTGATAGCGGCTCGATTGCCAGGATCTTTTGGATATATATATATATACATAACAAACATACATCTGTTGGATCAAGTCCATCAATCTCAATCTTCTAATTTGGACCCAAACAACTAAAAATAGACACAGTGCCACCATCTTCAGATTCTAGTTTCCCTGCGTATTGTCAATATTATTGCATGGCATGGAATAGAATGTTTTAGATTGTTTTTGTATTCTTCGGTAACAACGCTGTGACATCTTCCCTGCCACCTGGCTCAGGGTTTCATCCTCTTCCAACGTTCTGCCATCGAACAGGATCTCCATGGTGCTAAGTAGCAGGCGTTCGGAGAAATCCAACGCACTCATGGCTTTCAGCTGAGCTTTCAAGTCCCTCACGGTGCTTTCTGGCTGCAGCTCCAGCTCCAGCAGCTCTCCGCCTTGGGGTTCCCCCGGCGTGAACGAAAAGAAACCACCGCAGCAGCTGGACCTAGGGTGGTCTACAAAAGAATCTCTATCTATTGGTGGATGCAGTGGATGTATCTGGATATTAAACTAGGCTTTGTGCTACTATGTCCTAACACCCGCTATGCAGCATGCCTCAAACATCTGGTAATATGGATTTGCCAATTACTGCAGTAAGGGTGTGAACTCTTGAGGATGGAAGCAGATTGCGCCGTTCAACTTGGGATTGAACAAATCTCTGGGTGTCACACACGAAAACCACCACCGAGACCACCCAAACGACCACCGAGCAGTGGGGCTTTTGAAGCACACGGATCTTCCGAGACGAGGTGCTGATCTGCCGCACGGAGATCTTCATGACGACACGTGACCCGGTCGTGACGACACAACTCCAATGTCCGATGTCTCAATGGTTCGAAGTGTCGTCTGACATGTCTCGACTCAATGTTTCAGTGTGTTTGCTGAGCAACTGAAGCACATTGATATTGTTAGTTAATGGCTGCATGTCTCTGCTCGGAGACCTTCAAGGCCAGGGCCACAATGTGTCAACATGCGTAAACCAAGATCAAAATGCCCAAAGCACAAACATGGAGATGTTAGCACTTCAACACCGAACCTGTGGGAGATAGTGTTGGTCTGCTTGTGCAACGCTTCAGTCTTAATGACCCTAATCTTCGGAACTGTGGTCAAAAGGTGGCGACCCCAAGCGAACCCTAAAGATGTTTGACGGCGCTGTCCGTGTCAAGGACTAAGGAAAGTCGTTCAACAGTTCCTGGAGCCAAAGGCTGCAGAAGATATGTCACATCAGGTGGGGTTGTCCCGCTCTCCAGTAATAGCTACAGTTCTACTTTCTTGTGCAGCCTCTTAGAGTCTTAGAAGTTGATTTGTTTACCGGAATCCCAAAACAAAGGGTTTCAACGTGGTGTACCAAGTCTATTGAGTATGTTTGGACTGCTGGTGAGTGGGGTGTTTGTTTTGCTGAAGAGTCAAGGGATCTCAAGAGTCATAACCTCAACATGCCCAATAGAAGCGTAACAAAAATCTACTGGCTACAGGCTGTGGATCTGTGCTTCAGCCTGAGGCAATTTCTTACCTGTTCTTCTTGTGCGAGGTCAGTGCTCACATCATTCATGCATCTAAAGTAGGAAGACCCATATTTTAGGTGAATCCAAGACCTACAGTCTGTAAGAGGGTTTCAAGGCTTGTCGGAAATTAGTTTTGGCGGAAATTCGGAAAGTCGGTAATTCGGGTTTCTGAAAAATCTTACTTTTGGCGGAAATTCGGAAATTAACCGTTTCTGAATTTCTGACAAACTTTGTTTTTTTACATCATTTGGCGGAAATTCGGAAATTAACAATTTCTGAATTACTGAAAAACTTTACTTTTATGTATAGTTTGGCGGAAAGTCGGAAATTAACAATTTCCGAATTTTTGAAAAACTTTACTTTTTTACATCATTTGGCGGAAACTCGGCAAGTAACAATTTCTGATTTTCTGAAAAACTTTACTTTTTTACATAGTTTGGCAGAAATTCGGAAATTAACTAATTTCTGAATTACTGAAAAACTTTACTTTTATGTATAGTTTGGCGGAAAGTCGGAAATTAACAATTTCCGAATGTCTGAAAAGCTTTACTTTTTTACATCATTTGGCAGAAATTCGGAAATTAACAATTTCTGCATTTCTGAAAAACTTTACTTTTTTGCATCGTTTGGCGGAAATTCGGAAATTTATGAAAATAGAACTATAGAACTTTACTTGTTTTAACATCGTTGGCGGAAATTGAACTGGCTGTCAGCCGGTTAGAAGAAGCCGCAATACAAATCTAGATGATACTACGCTTGAGGCTGAGGCTGCTGAAGATTGACTTGCCCCGCGCGCGCTGCATGCCCGGAGCGCGCTCAACAAGTTCAACGTTCAGTCAGAACCCTTACAGATTCAAGCGGCTCACTATGTTTGGGCGCTTAGCCCCAAAAGCGCACTATGGTGAAGCGCGCACGGGCAGGAGACAGCAAAGAGCCCGGGCCCACGCAGGATACCTTTTCGCTTCGGGTCGCAGTTCTCTTCGCCCTGGCTGGCTGTCAGCCGCACAGAGCGCCTGGGCCTTTGCCGCGACGGAATCTGGCTAACAGCTGGAACCTGGCTGACAGCCGGAAAGCCCGTAAGGCTCTTGCTACTCAGGCAACTTTTGCCCAAAGCGCCCTGATTCCAATCAAACAACGCGCTTCGAAAGCATCAGCTTGTAAACTGGCCCTAGAAGATGCATTGCAGGGGCTTCCAGGCAATGGCCGATTCCAAAGCGTAAACCCTCGGCCTACACCCAAACATACCCATCATTATCATCATCATCATCATCATCTTGTCCTGGCGCTGTTGGGGGCGCTGCCGGAGGTGGAGCCAACAAACGCGCCCTCAAAGCACGTGCTTTCAGGCCTGGCGCCATAGCAATCAGCTGCTCCAAGTTGTCAAAGGTCAGCTCTGGAATAGATGCTATGCCAAAGAGCCAAGCAGACCGACGTCGCTCTTGGTCAGTCCAGACACTTTCACCAAAGACAGATCGCACAGGGTCAGGCATGAAGAGGAGGTTCCAAACCCTGGCGCCAGCGCAACAACGAAAGCCAAGCAGGCGAAAAAAGCGGCCAGGTCCGTCCAGCCGCCCAAAGCGGCTCTGGCCGTCCCAAGCAACATTGTTGCCGCGTGTGATGCGCCGAAAGAGAAGCCGCCCATCATCCAGCACGACCAGCCACTCCCCGAATCTGCTGGTCTGATGGTGTTTCCATTTGAAAAGCAGCATGTGGGTAGCCTGGGCCATGTGTTCAGAGGATGCGCCGAGATGAGAGCCAAAAAGAGGCTAGATGGCGAATTTTGCAACGCAAGTGCAAACTTTCCACTTCTGGCTGGCAGCCGGACGCTTTGTGAACAATGTCGAATTTATTTGGTGAAAACTTCTGAAAACTTCCTGAAAATGTCTGATTTCTGAATTTCTGGTAACTTTTACTTCTCTACAGTTTACTTTTTTGCATAGCTTAGCGGAAGTTCGATCTGCTTGGTAGGCTTCCCCACCGCCCCTTTAAGGTCATCTCCTCTTAGAAAGACACACTTCGCATGGCTCACCCTCTGGGTTGCAAGACACAGAGTTAACAGTCCGGTTGCTGATACTGGCGTTCAGCGGACTGGCCGCTCAAATCTCCGACTACGACTGGTCTCTATCTTTGTTGAAAGGGAATCTGTCTGGACGCTTTGGTGGAATACGCTGGGACACACTGCTAGCCTATAGCCTATAGCATAGCCCATGGGTTGCAGTTTACATGGCTGGCCGCTGCATTTTCCTTCCGTCGGCTCCCTGTCATGGGCCCATAGGCATGGGCCTGGGTGAACCGCCAAACACGAGGCAAACTTTCTGGCTGACAGCCGCAACTGCAAAATGTCTGCCGATCAAAATTGGTCTGGCTGGCAGCCGGGCAGAGCTCTCAATTGTTCGACATCACAGCTTTCCCGGATTTGCGCGCTTGGCCCCCTTCTTCGGCTGCGAGACAGCTCCCATCCTGGTTCATCACTGTCTGCGTCACCTACCTGATCGGATTCTTGTTGTGCATCCTCAACATGCTGGAGCATGTCTGAGAGGTCAGACTGGCTGCCAAAAGAACCCAGCCTCCTCGTCGTGCTTAGAGACGGTGCCTGAGCTGGCACAGGTGTGTGTGGTCCGTAGTGATCTTCACCTTCAAGGAAAGCATTTTGCCTCAGCAGCAGCGCAGTTGGTTGAAGGAGAATGGGGCTGCTCACACCCAAGCCCTTCCCAACATTCGCCTCATTGGCAGTCATCTCCGCAAGCAACTCATCATCAGGTTGTTTTGGAGGAGACATTGGGCTTCCCTCTTTTTCCATGGCTTCTGTTGGAGCTGAGTCAGCAGGAGAGCCCTCACTGGGAAGAGGACCTGGAAGCACAGCCGCAAGCTCGTGCGGGGTTGGAAGGTCTCCATGAATAAACACACAAGATTCACAAGACGCAGCAGTCCCACCCTGGCTGCCAGCCGTCTTGTTGGCTTTGCTGTCTCCCCGGGGAAGGGGGAGGGTTTTGGCCTATCTGGCTGCCGGGAGCAGCTTCTTCATCTTCGGCTGTCAGCCGCATTGTTGGCTTCGCTGTCGTGATGGGCAGGAGGGCTGCACTGGGCCTGGAAAGCTGAAAGCTTTTCTTGCTGGCAAGCACAGTCGTTTTTTTCGCAGTTTCCTCTCTAGTGCAAAAACAAAATATTAACATGCGCCAACAGCTATGCTATGTGACTGGTGGGCTGTCAGCAGCTGTTGCACAGCTGGCGAGCTGGCTGTCAGCCGCATGAACTTCAGCTGGCAGCTCTGCTTCCCTTTTCCTCGCGCGTTTACTTTGAGTGCAGGACGCTGCTGGCCTTTTCTTGGGCGGCATGGCGCGCTATGCTACCGAACAACGCCTATGGCGGGCTGAGTAATTAAGCCAAGCAGCTCTGGGAGGCATAACGCATCTGCTGGCGAACCCATATCACTGGCTGCCAGCGCGCAACCAAGCTAGATTTCCTAGTTTTTCTGCAGAATTCGGAGCCTGCCGCAGCAGAGAACGGTTTAATTGGATGATATCCTTTCAGGTTCGGCGGAACGTCGGAAAGCGGAAAGTGGGCGGAAAGTCGGTTCGGCGGAAAGGCGGAAAGTCGGTTCGGCGGAAAGGCGGAAAGTCGGGGCGCTGCTAAAACTCAGTTAAGCGGCGCGGGGTGCTGCTAAAACTCAGT